TGGCAATGGGAGACGACCTTCATCAGCGTTAATGGCAATGGGAGACGACCAGAATGGGCAACGGTGCGCAATGGAGACGACTGGCGGTGCAGCGGCAGTGCAATGGACCTCGCGATGGCCAAGTGGACCAAGCGCTCCCGGCCACTTGCCTTGCCTATCTAATCCGAATCGCCCCTCCAGCTAATCCGCCTTATCTCACCCTACCCAATCTATCCACGTCATCTAACCTATCCAGACCGAACCGAAATGAGGGCTACGAGGCAGGGGGACGGCGGGCAGCCCTTCCGCTTCGCACCTTCTCTATACCGACGCGGCACTGCTTTCCTCCGGCCAAGTCGGTTAACGTCCGAACAAACTGCCCTCGTTCGCCAGGGCCACCACGTCGACCGCTGCCGAACGACGAACGAATTTCGGTGAACAACCGAACAGGGAATACCCGAGACGCGTCCACGGCGGTGCGTGGCCATGGAATCACTTCCGGCGATAAGGACTGCGATGACTAAAGGACTGCTTCCGGGACACTTAATTAGGAAAAGTAAGACTATTACTTGGAAAAGCAACTCGTCAAACTCTTTTAAATAATAACATGAGTAATGGCAATGACGACAGAAAGAATTGCTGATTATAATAAAATAATAATACTTAATATAAAAAACGATAACGATTGTAATAATGGTGATGGTAATATAAATGATGACAGTAATATTGGCACACAGAAGAGAATGACAGTGGCAATAATAACGACGATGCACTAGTAAATGACGATATAATAATAACGACGATGCAATCATGATGACGCTGCAATAGCAACGAGACCGCCACGAGGGCCCCTGCATAAGCGACGGGCATCCCGGCGCGGCTTCACTCCCACTCTGAGCAAACAACACGCGGCCGGGATAACATTTCCCGCAAGCGAGGTACTGAGGAGGGAAGTCCACGCGCTGGCGACTCGCTGGCTGGTCGGATGGTCCGCCCTCGCGGCCACCGGGAAATCACCTCTACGCGCAAGGGACAACAGGCTCATAATCCCAAGAAATTCGTGGGATAAGGTCTTCAACGTGAGAGGATCTCCTTCGAGGGTTTTTACGCTGGCACTCGGCTGCCGTTCCTCCGCCGGCGTGCTCCTGCCGTGACCCAGGTTCTGATTCCCCTTTCCGATGGGTCGTGCGAGCGGGGACACCGCGCAGCCTGTGGAAGGACTGGTTAGCAAGGTCAGCATCGCCAGCGTTGCTTCCTGTGAGGACGCCGATGCTGGGGCTCGCGTGCCTTCCTCCCTTCGTCTTTTGGGCAGAGCAACCCATCCGAGATCTAAATTCCCCCAAACCCTCTTCCTCAGAACTTGCTCACATCTCAAGTTCTATTCCTTCATTTCCTCGGGCCGCCGAAGCCTTCCTCGGAGGAGGATTCGAAGGAAAACCGCTGCGCACGGGGTCCGAGCCGGCATTCCTGAGGTCGCAGGCTCGCCACATATCGAATGAAGCCGAAACCGAAGCCCATGTGCTTCGGAGACCTCCGTCGGCGGCCGAGGCGGGAAGCCATTCCCTGGACAGTGGAGAGGCGAGGCCCGCCCTCCTTGCGTCAGGAGCAGACTCAGACGCGCCTGCCGAAGGCCTCGCGCGAGACGAGCGGGTGAAGAGGCTTCCGACCTCGCCACGGCGGAGTTTCTACTACCGCTGTCAGTGTCACCTTTCACACTACCATTTGTTGTCACTGCCGTCACCGTCATATCAAATTATCATAATTATTACCATCGTCAGCGTTCCCTCAACACGATCCTTGTCAGTTCTGCACATCACCATATCAAATCCGCATCACCATCATCACTACTATACATCTTTATCATCAGCACCACATTACCATCATTCATCATCCTTCTCCCAAGTCAGGAGTGCGCTCCCCCCCCCCCCCCCCCCCCCTGACCTCGCCGTTGAGCAAGCCCGTTTCCGGAAGATAAGACCCAGAGCGGCCTCGTTTACGCCCGCGCGAGCCACAGCCTGATAACAAGCGCCGCAGGGCATTCCTGGGGAGGGGCTCACGCGGGAGGCGCCCTTTAAACGCTTACTTATGCAGAAGCTGAACTTCCCACTAGCGCTAGTAAATTGAACAGTTACTACTTTACACTAGCGCTAGTAAATTGAACAGTGCTAGTAAAGAACAGTTACCACTAGCTAAAATTGAACCACACTAGCGCTAGGAACAGTAGCGGCGCGCTAGTACCTTACGCTAGTGCACAGGCGCTAGGCAGTTACTACTTTAGCTGTAACGGGAGGCGCACTTTAGCGCTAGTAACTTATATGGCGGAATATTACGTTTGTGGTCAGCATGAATTACATAGCACTTATAAAAAATAAGGTTTGAGTTATATTACCTCAGGAGTCATGGGCAACGAACCGAGCGCCGGAAGAGAGCCCGAAGGGTCAGGCTGGGTCACTCCTGTGGCGGGAGGAGGGTCGGACCCGCGATGACGAGGCGAGGGCTGATCCGGCGACGATGCCAGTGG